AGAAAATAGCTAGAAGATAAGAATGCCTTCTTAAATTAATAGTGTAAAGAAATAGAAGAAAACAATAGAATAGGACGGACCAGAGATCTCTTCATGAAAATTGGAGATATGAAGGGAATGTTTCATGCAAAGATGGGCATGATAAAGGACCAAAATGGCAGGGACTTAACAGAGGCAGAAGAGATTAAGAAGAGGTGGCAAAATTACACAGAAGAACTATACAAGAACAAACCTAATGTCTCTGATAACCATAATGGGGTGGTTGCTGACCTAGAGCCAAACATCTTGGAATGTGAAGTCAAATGAGCCTTAGGAAGTCTGAGCAACAACAAAGCAAGTGGAGGTGACAGTATTCCAGTTGAGCTATTCAAAATCTTGAAAGACAATGCAGTCAATTTGCCAGCAAATTTAAAAACTCAACAGTAGCCACAGGATTGGAAAAAGTCAGTTTACATTCCAATTCCAAAGAATGGCAATACCAAAGAATGTTCAAACTACCGCACCATTGCACTCATTTCACATGCCAGCAAAGTTATGCTCAAAATCCTACAATCTAGGGTCCAACAGTATGTGGACCGAGTACTAACAGAAGTACAGGCAGGGTTTCGAAGAGGCAAAGGAACTAGAGATCATATTGCCAACATACGCTGGATCATGGAAAAAGCTAGGAAGTTCCAGAAAAACATCTACTGTATTTTTCGGAATATAAGACGCCCCCTTTTCCCTCAAAAAAGAGGCTGAAAATCTGGGTGTGTCATACACTGAATATAGCATTTTTTGCCTCCTGAAACCCCGCCCCCTTCACCAAAATCGCTGTGCATAGTGTTTAGGATGCTTTCAGAGTGCTCCTGGGGGCTGGGGAGGGCAGAAATGAGCGAAATTTCTTTTTGCTCAATTATGCCCCCCAGCCCCCAGGAGCATTCTATAAGCCTCCTAAAGGCTATACATGCCCTTTTTTTGACAAAAACAGGCATGTTTTCATGAAAAACTGGCTGTTTTGGGGAGGTCTGCAGAATGCAAAAACTTTTTTTAAAAAAATTTGCCTCTTCAAAATCTTGGTGCATCTTATACTCTGGTGTGTCTTATACTCCGGTGCGTCTTATACTCCGGTGCGTCCTATACTCCGAAAAATATGGGTACTTCTGCTTCATTGACTAAAGCCTTTGATTATGTGAATCACAACAAATTGTGGCAAGTTATTAAAGAGATGGGAGTATATTGTTGCCCTGCNGGCATACAAATAAAGTGAAACAAACGAAACAAACAAACAGATGGCAGTGTATTTGCACAATTAGTGTACTAGCTGCTTATCCTAGGTTCCCAAGCCTAAAGTGGGTATGTTATATGGTTCTCAAGCCAAAGTCCGTACTGTTTGTACTGCCAAATTCCAACGATTGCTTACTTATAATTGAATTTACACGCCATGTTCTTTAGTGTTGCTTCTGGGAATTGATACTGTCAACCTGACGATGTAACTGAAGGCGCCGGAAGCACACACATAAGATGTGGTTCTGGAACCCACCAAACATCTTGCCTTTCAGGCCAATAAAATGAATGAGCAGAGCCTCGTGGATGAATAAATATTACCAACACATCATTTTTTTTAATTGAAATTTCCACTATGTTGTCCATCCATCATTTTTTGTCATAAATGCATAAACATAAAAAACAGGAAATATGTCGGTCAACTTTAAATTTGGATCGATGGTATTGGACATATTGGATCATGTAATTTGAAATTTTGCTGATAGAAATCAAATTTGAATCAACTGGAACAAACTGATGATGATCTCTTGTGCCAGCTATGGGGTCAAACAAATGACTATATCTCCACATGTATTGCATCGACAAATGTAACGCTTTGACCAATGGTCATTGGGGATGAGGGTGCACGTTCACAAAAAATTTCATCAAAATCCTTGATGGTCAAGCAGGACACTTTTCTGAAATCAGACCACTTATCGTGGAATGACCTGATTTCCTTGAGGGCCAGATTAGCATTGTAGTTCTCTGTGGGTGGGGGGTGGGGAGCAGGGAGGGAGATGGGACGGACGCCTCCTGCAACACTTTACCAGCCAAAACAGGCATGGGGGGATGCACGTCCACCACACGCCTCATTTTTGGCTTCCCTGGCCTCCAGTAGCACTCTGCTGGTCAAAAACGGGCTGCATGGAATTGTAATTGTAATTTAATAAATTTATATGCCGCCCAATCCCGTAGGACTCTGGGCGGCTTACAAAAACAAGATAAAGAGTTAAAANAGGAAAGCTATGGCAAATCTAGACAGCATACTAAAAAGCAGAGACATTACCCTGCCAACAAAAGTGCATATAGTCAAGGCTATTGTTTTCCCAGCTGCAATGGCTGTGAAAGTTGGAGCATAAGGAAGGCTTAGCACCAAAGAATTGAGACCTTTGGTGCTGGAGAAGACTCCTGCGAGTCCCTTGAACTGCAAGGCTATCAAACCAGTCAGTCCTAGAGGAGATCAACCTTGACTGTTCTTTAGAAGGCCAATTCCTGAAGATGAAACTCAAATACTTTGGCCACCTAATGAAAAGGTGGAGAAGAGCCTAATGCTGAAAAAGTTTGAGGGGATGACAGAGAATGAGGTGGCTGGATGGAGTCACTGAAGCAGTCAGTATGAGCTTCAATGGACTCCAGGGGATGGTAAGGAACAGGAAGGCCTGGAGGAACATTGTCCATGGGGTCACGAGGGGTCAGACATGATTTTGCGACTAACAACAACAAAATCTAGATTAATCCAGTGAAGCCAAAAATATGACGATTAGATTGCAAGGGCAGTTAAGATGAACTTGTGCAGAAGTATTATGTCTTGTATTAGCAAAACACCATGCCACTCATAGTTGCCCCATCAATTTAGTTTCTGAAAACTCATTTTCACAATACAAAATCCATTCAATTTTTTGGATGGCAACTGATAGACTAATTAGTCATGGGAATGTATAAGTAATAAATATTTTTAATAGGAAAATGTCTTTCAATCAATAATTAAGCTGGCCATATCCCACTCTGGATTTTTTTGACTCTCCCTTCCTAGATTCTCCTAGACAACTTCAAAGTATTTTGTAAGATTGTTTAAATTTACAGATCAAAATATTCCAGAACTTACCTGGCTGTACTGTAGCAGCAAGTAGGGCATGGAGATATGTCCCAAACTGGGCTCGAATCCATTCATCCCCTCCTTCCCATCCAGTGCCATCCAGGAAGACATCATCCCTATTTTCTGTTACATGCTTCACTAAGAAATCTGTAAATCTCAGATCAGCTGTTGTAGGATTTAAGACTTTTCTAAGATCTGGATCATGGACTTGGACAAGAGCTTCCTCAATCTGATTGAGAACAATTCAAAGTGAAAAAACTTTGGGGTAGAGATGATGATTGAAACAATTAACACAAATTGTCATCATAAACATAGGTAAGTTATTTCCATCTTACCAAAAGCTATACTGTAATTAATATCTAGTGCTATATTATTGGACAAAAATACATACATAAATAATGTAAATGATTATCTTGGCTTCTGGGTTTAACAGCGTGTGCAATCATTTGTATTTATTTATTCTAGCTTCTAAAAGTAAGCAAGCCTTCTTTTTCATGTTTTATGGAAAGATTTCAGAATGCATCAAAAATTCATTGTAGTCCGAGCAATCTGATTCTCCTGTGCTCACATCCAATTCTATCAAACGAAGAAGTGGAAAGCTGGTAGTAATATAAAAGCTCTCCAAAAAATAGTGACTATCAAGAGATTTAACTATTCAATGATTTACAAGAATTTATGAAAGCTTACTTTAAGAAACATTACACAGGCTTGTAATGTATCAACTAGCTCCTAATACAATCTTTTTAAAAAAGATATTTGATTAGAAAGGTTCATAAGTTTAATTTTGGCATTTCAACTGTGACTAAATAGTCTTGAAAATATTTTTTAAACATGTTCATTATCTATTATTGATAAATTTATCTACAAAGATAATCTTATCTATGCATGTATGCATGCATGCAAAACATACACACTTAAACACACACATAAGGAAGTGTATCACTTGTCTGCCATGTGATTATAAAAATGACATCTCTTTCCAAAATCTTTATTTTTTAAAATAAAAATCTAAGAAACTTTTAATTAGAACCTTGTAATACATAAGATGTCTTGCTCCATGAAGTAATTATTATAAGAAATTATAAAGGAAAGGACACACACCTCTACAATAGCATCACTTAGATGTTTCTGCTGACGGAAGAGGATATTGGTGGCTCCTGCAACAAAACCGCGGATTGTTACATCAGAGAGAAGGTGGTGCTGTTGCAGTGCCATGTATGGCAAGCAAAGGTATCCCTAAAATAAAGAAAAATATTAATCCTGGATGAAATTATAATTTAGAAAGAAGGATTGTAGGAACAATTTTAATGTACAATATAAAAGCAATGATTATAATTTACATTTGCCACTCTGGAATTTTTGTTTTAAACAAACACAATAGATAATTGTTTCATTGAATTAACCTATTGTCTTCACTAGGAAGTCCAAGCAGCATAAAAGGGCTGGGGAGGGAAGAGGATTTAGAAAAAATTGCCTTTTCCAATGTTGCTGAAAGGTATAATTTAGATGATACTGAATAGATATGACTTGAACTTTTAGATATTTACTGAGACTCTTTGCTTACACAGGTGGATGGCATATCCTGGAAATGATGTGATCGTATGGATCTTTTAATGGTTTATAGCATCATCAACCTTCATACCTTTCTACCTTATCTGGGAGAATGATGAAGTTATGGGACAGTGTTTACATTGGTTCTCTTAGGCCATGTTCAAATGGTCAACATTGACCTTTGGAATTCTACATGGTTTTCCCTATTCTTCATGTTGCTGAATATCTCCATGAAAACATCAGAGAAGTTTATCCAGAGTTCTGAAGTGAAGGTCTATCAATTGTTGATGACAATCAGCTCTATTGTTAAATATGATGCAGCCCAAAAGGAATCAATATCTCTGAATATGGTGAAGTTCAATAATGGGCTAGATGAAGGAAATAAGTTGAAATGAAATCCAGAAAAGATAGGTGTTCTATGATACATAAATAACTGGACTCCAAAATAGAAACTTAGCTTATTTTTTGATGAAGTTATACTTGCTCCAAATCACAGGCTTACTGTCTGGGGGATTCTCTTGATATTCGGAGGAGAGCCTTCTCCGTGGCTGCTCCGACCCTCTGGAACGAACTCCCCATGGAGAT